AAAAAAAACAAAACAAACATACCGACTTGAAACCATACGAACTGTAAAACGACAACTCGAAAAATAATATCGAGACTCCGAACTTATACACAATTAACAGAGCAACACAACGGTATTCACGTTTATGAAGTTGAGAGTTCCAATCATCCCCGAAAATCTATGAATATACGAACAATCAATAAACAATAACAAACCAAACCAAAAATCCAATTTCAAACGCGAATTTGGTAGTACATATGATGTATAAATCTATCATGCGATATATGAAAACGACCGCAATAACGAAAGGATTCGAATAAGCTACCCGACTTCGGAAAACTATGAGTTATCGGAATGGAAACGGGCCCGACAGCGGGTCGGAAAAATAGCTTTGAGTTTGAACCTTCCAACGCGGGTCTGAGGGCTGCTGGACGGGACCAATGATGGCGTGTGAGGCTCGATTGCTGATTGCCAGAAGAAGGTTCTGCTCGGACGTTGCCGCTGCTGGAAGGCCTCGCCGAAAATAATGGTGAAAGCCGGTGACGCGAACGGAGTTGTGGGGGTGGTCTACCAGGTTCGCTTCTCGAGGTCGGACGGGATGTGGCCTCTAACTGCGATTGAGCGCGAGAACAGGACGACAGCAAGGAAAGACGCCGATGAATGGAGCTTTCACCAGAAACAATGGTGGAGAGATTTTTTTTTTTCTTAATATCGCCGAGAGCTTCTTATCTGATAAGGTGAAGAGAATTTTTATTGAAGAAAATCCTTTTGCTCAGGTGATATATGCGAGAGAGAGAGAGAGAGAGAGAGAGAGAGAGAGAGAGAGAGAGAGAGAGAAGGGAGGAGAATGTGCGGTCGGTTAGAGGAAAAATCTCACGAAAAATCTCACGGAAGAATCGCAGCGAACAATTCAAACGTGAAGATAAGCGAGAGGGACCGGTTCCAAAAAAAAAAAAACGTGAGAGATATGAGGTGTCGGACTTTAATAAAACCATTTGAGCCAAGCTAAATTAATCTCTCGAGGGTCAAAAATTTTATATAGGAGTTGGGCCATAAATTTGTTAAACCACAAATGAGGCTAGAAGTAAATTTCAATTGGGCCGAGGATAAATGAAATAACAAGAACTCCCGATCAATTCGATTCAAGGGTTCGATAAAAATAAATTAACAGAAATACATATATATTTATATAATACACAAATAATAATGGCAATAATAAACAAATAAATAATCTCAAATAATTCTAATTCAAACGGGGCGTTACAAATTCGATTCTCCACGCAGTCCGTTCAGAATTCAAGTCGAGTGACCATAATGTTCCTACAGTTGGATGCATAGCCTGAGAACCTCAGGAAGGGAAACTCCTCGAGACTTGGTTCGAAAAATTGAAAAAAAAAACAGGTTTTCTACTGACTGATATAACGAGTGGGCTTTTCGATCTTTTTTCCGTGAAGGATAAAAATGAAATCGCCTACATAAAGAAGGCCGCGTATATAATCGCCTGCACCGTGAAGAATTTTGTGGTCCCGAAAGTCGAGAAGGCGATCGACGAGGAGAGAAAAGTGACGCACGCCTCACTTACGAATGACACGGAGAAGGCCTTACTGGACCCTGCAAAGATCGGCCTGCAACTAAAAGCTAAAAATGTGGATATATATCATCCTCCGATCTTTCAGAGTTGAGGCAACTTTGACCTACGGCCAAGTGCATCGAGCAATAATGAGTATCTCTACTATGATTCTTCCAGCATCATAATCTGCTCGGTAGGGTCCCGCTACAATAGCTACTGCTCGAATATCGCTAGGACTTACCTTATCGACTCGGATGCTGTGCAGAGAAATGCGTACAGAGTCCTTCTTCGGGCCCATGAGGCTGCTATTCTTGCGGTGAGGCCAAGGAAAAAAGCCTGTGTGGTCTACGAGGCTGCTCTCTCTGTGGTGAAAATTGATGCCCCCGATTTTCTCCCTAACCTGACAAAATCTGTCAGGACAGGCATCAGTCTTCAGTTTCGTGAGTCTGGGCTGAGTCTTGATGTGGAAAATGAGAAAGTGCTGAAAGCGGGGATGGCCCTTAATGTTTCGATTGGTTTTCAGAATCTACAAGCAAAGACGAAAAAAGGCCCGAAAGCCCAAAATTTCTCGACGCTGCTCACCGATACGGTTCTCGTGATGGACAGCAGATGTGATGTTGCCACGTCAGCCAGCTCAAAATTGTTTAAGGACGTCGCATACTCCTTCAATGAAGAGGACGATGTAGATGAGCCGCTGAGAAAGAAACTAAAATCAGATTGCAATGCTGAAGAAAAAGAATTCATGTCCTCCAAAGCAACCCTCAAATCCGACAATGGTGAGATGTCCAAGGAGGAGCTCCAGAAGCAGCACTAGGCAAAACTTGCATGTCGGAAAAACGAAGGGACTGCCCGGCGCCTTATCGGAGTTGAGTTGGGCAACGTGAACGGGCGGGCCGCGACTCGGATTGCATACAAGAGCGTGAATGAGGTCTCGCTTATGCTTATCCGAGATATGATGACGATCCACGTCGACCAGAAAAATGAGTCCATCCTGATTCCCATCTATGGCTGCATGGTCCCTTTCCACGTGTCCACTATGAAAACCGCCACAAGCCAGCAAGACACGAACCGGAGCTGTTACGTGCGTATCGTATTTAATCTGCCCGGACCTACCCATCAGAGGGCCGTTTACCTGAAGGAGGTCTCTTTCCGGTCCAAGGACTCTAACGAGGTGGTTAAGCTGATAAAGACTCTCAGGCGTGACGTGATGGCTCGGGAGACCGACGAACACAATTTTTAGGATCTAGAGTGAATGTTGAATTGCAAAAAAGTAAATCATTAAATCGAATGAGTTTTTAGACTAACTAAGCATTTTATTTGGTTAGAATTTCGAAAATGACAACACAGGAATAAGCACTTCTGCAACACTTACATTGTAATCTGGGTCAAAGACAACCTGAAATAAGCACTTCTACAACACTTCTGCAACACTTACATTGTAATTCTATGTCGACATCCTTATAAACTCCAATACTCCAATAAAAATGATACCTTTCTTCTACCTTCATCTTTTTAAGAATCTCAAGCATATAACTAACAAATGCAGGCAAAAAAATTAAATTGTAGAAAGAACCACAAATTAAGTCTTGCTAGGATATATGAAATCCAACTAACTTTACACCCAGACACAATGAAGTAAATGAAATATTCCATACTATATCCGAAGACATGCTTAAACTCTCCACGGCTCCAAAGTATGACACTCAAGAATCGATTGATCTTCATACATTACCATTTCACGGGAAAATAAGCATTATTCTCTCTACAAACTCCAAGTCTGCACAGATGCTTGGTTCGCATCAATGCTTCTCTCATTTCCTCCCCAACAATAACTGCATTCTCATGTCTCCTCTGAACCGCCACACTTCCAACTAAAACAACCAACAACAATCTCATTCAGTATGGTGGAAACAAGAAAAGTAAAATATAGAAAAACAGTATTAACCATGTTAATCAAACTTTGGGATCTTATTGAAACAATACATGAAAGAGTAAATAAATGAACACAAGGATGGAAAATTGAGTCAAAGAAAAACCATGGCGTAACGTCGCTGCCAATCCACCTTTACCGAACATCAACCACCCATCAACAAGGTTTCATGTGTACCGAACATGAAACAAATAAATTTATATTCATATTGCCACACACATACGTAAACAAGATTGGAATGTATATCAATGTATAAATTAAAGGGAAACCAAATAAACCCACCCAAATCTTTTTGAGTTGTTCCAGAAATCTCTTTGCTTTCTCAAATCCCTACTATTGAAATTGATAAAGGAGTCAATGCCAAGTTTACACGAAAGGCACAAAAGAAAACTATAAACAAAAATAGGAAAACAACAAATGAACATGAAAAAGAAGAAAAATAGAACTATCATAACTTAATTCAACATTTGTATGCACGATACCTACATAAGCTGCTAGACAAACCCGTGCTTGAAATTCCAAGGTTAACACTGTCCTCACAAACTTGGCTATGTCCCTCTTCACAAAGCTTTGGCTTTTCACCTCACGTGAGGTTTAGCCGTCCAACGACAGGTCC